CCAAAATACACTTAATTACTGATTTTAATAAACATATTTCTGCATTCTAAAAAGAAATAAGAAAATGAAGTTTAAATCCAGGTAACCCTTGGCTATATGAAGGTAGTTGAGCCACAGGGAACTGAGGTTGAACTGAATTTCAACCTTTTTATTTTCCTACACGTAAATTTTCCTTTGGTGGAGACAAATTTTGGTATTATTAGCTATCATCTATAATAAGTTCTTCACAGGTAGTGGTGTACATGGAGTCAATGAATGCTTAAAAGCCATTTAAATAATTTCAGTAGCGATATGAAAAAACAGCTATTAAGACTGAACGATTAGCAGTTAGAGTAAGATCACTATTTAGACTGTCATCAGATGTTAATGTGGAAATTTTCCCTAAATGCTGGAGGGAATGAGAGCGACGAGGCCCCCGCACTTCCTGTAAAATGTGGTGAAGGACGCTGAAAAGGCTCAGCAGACAGACAAGCATTGCTTTACCTCGCAGCCACCTTGTTAGTCGTTACTGTTGTTCGATTCCATTATTTTCTCGTAGTTTCTGCTGTATACCTACGTTCTCTACATTTTGAATCCAAGTCAAAATGAAAGGAGCCGAGGCGTCTGATTTAGGCAGTCTGGAGATGAGAGACATTCCTGAGTTACTGGCTGCAGTCCGGTGTATGGGCAGGTGCTGTACATTTGGGATACTCAATGTGCACAGGATCAGGCCGGGTAGACTGTTACCTCCGTAAAGCCCCTGTGATGGGCGTGCTGGTCACCTTGGCTCGAAGCCCCCTGCCAGACGCCAGAGACCCTAGTGCCCCTGACCCACAGACAATCTCCCTCCTACCTCTCAGGGGCCACCACCTCCAGTCCCACTCCAGTAGACCCGGATTCTTGGGAACTGAGGGCTGGTGCCTCCCACAGCCCTGCGCTCCCGACCCCGATCGCCTCTTGGACCCTCGCCCCGGGCCTGTGCGGCCTAGGTCCCCGGCCCCATTTCACGCCACCAGGTTCCAGCGCGGGGCGCGAAGTGGAGCGCAGGGTCAAGATTTGGGTGAAGAATTCCGGCATCCCGGGGCAGCGCCCGCGCTGGGCAGGGAACCGGCCACCTCCGAGGGAGGGCTGCCGGGAGGAGGCAGCGGCTCCAGGGCTGCAGGGGAGGTGGGGGACGGAGGTCCCGCTGGTGCCTAAGTCGAGGGATCCCTGGGTTTGGGGAGACCACGAGGACAAGGAGACCGAAAATCCCGCCGGGAAGGAAGAATGCACAGGGCTCTCCTGATTCTTCCGTGGCTATGTTCTGTTAAGCGGAGGGCTCTAGCTCGGCGTGGGCCGGGGCGTCACCCGGTCGGGTCCTGGCGGTGACCTTGCGCCGCTCTGCAGAGGCGCCTCCTGGGGAAACGCGGAGCAGAGCCCCAGGCGCGGGGCTGGGGAACCGACTGCGCGCGCGTCCTTTGGCGCGTCCGGATCCCCGCAGAGAAATGCGCTTCCTGGCGTGGGGGACTAGGGGATCCAGGCCGGGAGGAAGGACTTGGGGCTCTGGCCTGGCTGGGCCTCGGCCTCTGCGACCCGTGACAGACCCAGGCAGGAGAAGGTCGCCGACGCGCATGGACTTAGTGGTTCAGAAAGCGGCCCAGTGCTACCGCCTGAGGGTCCGCGGGCGAGTGTCTTAGTTTCTCTGAGCTGCAAATTTCTTCTCTGTAAAATGGGGGATTCTATAGTGTCCTCTTCATTGAGTGCTGGGGCTGCTGAAGGGGGATCCAGTGCCTGGCAGGCAGGAGCGAGTGTTAATGAACAGCCGCTATGGTTACTGTTATTACTGTTATTTCCAGCTGGCAGGACAGAGTAGTGGGGGCGTCGATCCCCCCGACTTCCCCCGGCCCTCGCCCAGCTTCTCCGCACCTCTCAGCCCCTTGCACTCTGCTCCAGCCCTTCAGCTCCGCCCCCTGGTAGTCCTGGGCGCATCCTGCCAACCTGTTCTCCCAAAGATGAGCCCGAGGGTCTCTAGGGTCGAAGACGACTCGATCCTTCGCTCAACCCAGAAGCGACGTGCTTTTTAATTCCCGCCGTAGGGTCGTCAGAAGCCTGGGACCCTGCGCAGGACCGCGGGAACCGGGCCTGGGATCCAGAGCTGCGGCCGGGCCTGGCCACCGCGCGGAGCACGACGCGCTCCAGCGACGCGCCCTCGCCGCCCAGGGGTCGCGGCCGCCACAAGCCCAGCCGACGTCACGTCCGGCGCGGGCTCCTTCAGCTCCGCCCCCTGGTAGTCCTGGGCGCATCCTGCCAACCTGTTCTCCCAAAGATGAGCCCGAGGGTCTCTAGGGTCGAAGACGACTCGATCCTTCGCTCAACCCAGAAGCGACGTGCTTTTTAATTCCCGCCGTAGGGTCGTCAGAAGCCTGGGACCCTGCGCAGGACCGCGGGAACCGGGCCTGGGATCCAGAGCTGCGGCCGGGCCTGGCCACCGCGCGGAGCACGACGCGCTCCAGCGACGCGCCCTCGCCGCCCAGGGGTCGCGGCCGCCACAAGCCAAGCCGATGTCACGTCCGGCGCGTGCTCAGCGGCGTTGGTGGCGTGGTGTTAGCAGCACCACGCAACCATCCGTCCCGGGAGCCGGGCGGGCTCCCCACGAGGGTCCCACCCGTGGCCCCGAGCTCTCCGCGCCGGTGCGGCGCTTCGCGTCAGGTGGACCCAGATCTCCATGTTGGACTGGAGAACAACTTTTAATTTGCTAAGCCACCGAACCGATGTTTTTCTTGAAAATTCATCGTTCGGTACGGTTTCATTAGAGGAACATTAGGAGCTTAGAGGCCGGCCTGAACCGGGCCCTGATCTTGAGTCACCCGTGTTCGTGACTGTCCTTGTCTGGCCTCGCGCAACAGAAGGACGGGAATTTGGAGGGAGCCGAGAGAGCTTTGACGGGGTCCTTTCTGGGTTCCGCGGCCGCTGGAGCCGGCGCTCCCAGGGCGTTTGTTGACTGAATAAATGAACGAAGCTAGGCCTGCAGAGAGACGTTTTTACGCAAGGTTGAACATGAACAGGCGGGAACTTGGCATGAAAAAGGACCCCCCTATTCTTGATTTGTTTCCAAATCCTTAGACTGCCCCAGACCTGCCAAATTTGCTAAAAGGGATCTATTTAAAACACCGGTAGGGAGTGCTCTGCGGGCGAAGGTTGCAAGCGCAAAGGGGAGGGGAGAACTGGAAACTGGGGCGCGGCAGCTACCACGGGTGGGGCTTGGGAACTTTCCAGAACGTCCCCAGAACCGCAGGATCCGGGAGAAGGAACGGATCGCAGGCAGGGATGGCTGAAGAAGCTCCAAGTGATGGGGTGGAAATGGGGTCTGGAGTAAAGATCGGCCAATTAAACGCCTGCAAAAGTGTATCTCCGTGTTTTCCCTCCCTCCTGAAACGAGAAGTTCATAACTGGGGGTAGGGAGTAGATGAGGGGGACGTTCTCACGTACAGTGGCTTCCCTCGAAGCGCCGCGGATGCAATTCTTTTGAAACGTGAACCCTGTTTAGGACAACGGGAACAGCCAGGTCTCCAGGAATTTGCTTTTATTCGGGGGAGTAATGGTGTTCCCGCCGTGTTTCTCTCCCAGTCAATCACCTGAAGCCGAGGAACAGTGAAATCTTTCTGGTTGCAAAGTCCTTTCAAAATTAATTTCAAAAAACATTAAGAAAAAAAGGTTTTGAAAATTCTAGTGCTTTAAAAATATATATTGTCTGTTGTCCCTGAATAAGTGTGGTCACTATATTGCAAATTGATCTCAAATTGTCCTCCAGCTTATTCAGGAGGGAAAAAAAATCAACCTCTTTAGCAAGATGGAAAAATAAATGAAGAATATATTTACATGTCCTCCAATTATTTTTCTTCTTGAGGTTGCATAAATTCTAAATCTATTTTATTTATTTATGTATTTATTTTTGCAGCTGGCAGGTATGGGGATCTGAATCCCTGACCTTGGTGGTTTAACACTGCCCTCTAATCAACGGAGATAACTTTTTCAACCTCAAAAAAATTTAAAAACCATATTTAAAATGGATCGTTTCTGATACCTATAATGAATATGAATTGTAAAAATAAATTGTTTAATTGGGAGGAAAGGATGTAAGTTTTTAAAGAAGTTCCATTTAGAGAGTGAATAATGAGGGCCGGCCCGGTGGCACACTGCTACAGTGCGCCGCTTGAGAGTGCGGTGGCCCTCCAGCCGAGGGTTCGGATCCCACGTACAGACCGGGTCCCGCTCACTGGCTGAGCGAGGAGCGGGAGCAACCCCAAGGGTTGCGATCCCGTTGCCGGTCCCGGTCCGGTACGGGGGCAACACTGAGGGTTGCGATCCGTTGCCGGACACTAAAAAAGACAGAAAGGGGGAAAAAAAAAAAAAAAGTGAATAATGAGGCATAATAAAACACAAATGATGTGATTTAGCATTTTTATTTCGTCTACATAGTTAGACTTAATGTTAACATCTCTACATGTAAGATGACGCGTCAGACAAACATGAGAAATAAATGTTCTGAAGTTAAAATTCTACTTATATCACATGTAGATTTCAGGAAGACACAGAGGGCGTTAGCATTTTGCATTTGGGAATACTTGCAGGTGCTAGGGAGGGAAGAAGGGGAAACATGTTTTGCATTAGAGACTGTTTTCCTTGTTTTTCTTTTAATATCAGAACAAAATACCCCACTCACGTTCACAGTTCTCGGAAAATGTGCAAATCGGAAAAGCTGTAGAAACCACCATTGAAGGCGGGAAAAGAAAGGGCGAGACTTGACGCCCTTCGTAATTTATGTTCAGGTTGTCTTTAAGGGGACAAAATCCAACCGTTCCTTTGTAACTATTTTGCAGTGAGCAGAAATCAGTGGTTGCTCTGGGGCGGGATTCAGACGCAGACGCTTGCTCCTGGCTGTGCAAGGTGGAGCGCGCGAGGGTGGGCGGCGAGGACAGCGGGACAGCGGGCAGCTCCACCCTCCCACCTGGCTCCAGGTGCGAGGGGGCCAGCTGTGGCTGCTACTCAAAAGGCCGGCGAGGTCCCCCTCCGTCCGAAGGGGCGGCCAGCGATGCCAGCCTAGAGCCCTCTGCCGCAGCGGCCGACAGATGCCGGCCCAGCAGCGCGCCCTTGCTGGGAGCGCAGCCGCTGGTACAGTGCTGCTGCTGCTGCTGCTGCTGCTGCTGCTGCAACAAAATCTTCCGAGCGGCGGCGGCGGCGGACACGTGCAGCATGGGGGCAGCGGCCTGGGGACGCAACAGGCACGACGGGTGCTGCAGCAGGTGACAGTAGCCCCACGGGGTCGAGGGCAGACTCGGCGCGGCCTTTGTACTCCCTCCGCCAACCCCTTGCATGATACTCTCGATGCTGAAGGAGGTGCATCCGCCTCCGGGCAGCGACGCCCGGCCCTGGCCCTCCTCCCAAGGCTGGGAGCTCGGCGAGGGCTGCAGCGCCGGGAGGGTGCGGGGGGTCGCCCGGTCATCACCTTGCGCTTTCCTCTGCGCCTCAGCGGAGGCCGGGGCCGAGAGCAGCAAGTAGCGAAGGGGATGCGGATGCAGCAGCGCGCACGGGCGGCTCCCGGGGGCGGCAGAGGGGTAGGTCCCCGGGGCAGGCTGCGGCCGGGCCTCGGAACCGAGCAGGAGGCCCGGGTAGGCGCCGTGCAGGGCGGCGCGCGCGGCGGGCAGGGGGAAGGGCTGGTGCAGGTGGGCTCCCGCGGACGGGTGGGGGCGCTTGAAGCGCTTCCTGCGCCGTAGGAAGCTGCCGTTGTCGAACATGTCCCGGGAGGCAGGGTCCAGGCTCCAGTAGTTGCCCTTGCCCGGGTGGCCCGGCTCGCGGGGGATCTTGACGAAGCAGTCGTTGAGCGAGAGGTTGTGGCGGATGCTGTTCTGCCAGGCGGGGAACCTGCGGCGGTAGTAGGGGAAGCGGCCGCTGATGAAGGCGCAGATGCCGCGGAGCGTGAGGCGCTTGTGCGGGCTCTGCAGGATGGCCATGGTGATGAGCGCGATGTACGAGTAAGGGGGCTTCGCTGGCGGCGCGGCCTCCCCGGAGGCCGCCGCGGCCCTCGTCGGGGCCCCGAGCTTGGCGCCACACTCCGGGGTGCGCTCCCCGGGAAGCGCCCCCTGCGGCCCCGGCCCGTGCGGCTGCTCCCCGAACCGACGGCGCCC